GTTCACACGCACATAAATTTTACCTATTCTGACGTGACTCCGATTTCGAGTTTCAATCGTGTTCTCTTTTAAAGCTCCATTATCTCGTGTGTACACGTCTTTGTGGAGGATTTTTTTTTTCATATTGTTCACACTCTAAAACCTTCTACTTTGAGAAATCACCCGAATCACCGAATAATCACCTGGCATCTTTGGAGCCAAGCCGGTTATGGTTGTTTGTCGCACGAAAGCCACTTTGTTTTTTGATAATTAAGGGGAGGCGAAAATGACAAAAAAGAAGAGCGCTATTGAAGTAGAAGAAAAACACTCAACGCATATTGGTTACCCGTAGGAAAAATATGAAAGCAACTAGTCTGTCACCTCCCTCCCAGCTTAGTTTCAATTGGTTAATAGTTGTGTTGGATTGAACGAGGTGGAGGGATGAAGAGGAACGGCTAGTTCATAGCATCGACCACGTGACCCTAATTTCATTATTATCTTTTAAATTATGGAAAGATCGCCATTTTTGATTATTTATTTATTTATTTATTTTTGATTATTTATTTTATTATTTTATTATTTATTTTTCAGATGTTTAGGCGTTATAGGATATTGTGTAAGAGGAGAGATATACTGTATAAGCTATGATGCTCCATTTGGCAAGTTATCGATCGCGGCGGCGAGTTACACGCGTGATACCTTTTTTGTCATCACACAAATATTACCTACCGTGAAAGCGCTGGATACAATCAATCTCTTATTGAACCTTGATCATATGATGTGTCAAATGACAAGCGTAATTATAAATAATTAGTTCTAGGAATAACTAATTCTCGGGGAAGATCGAGATAGGAATACCGGTTCAAATAGTTCTCGGGATGATCAATTATTGGGCACAAACAATTGTAAACATTCGCACATGAAAGTACACCGAATTCGCTAGTGCACAAAGTGCCACATTGAAACTCGAATTCCTATCTACATTGGTGACGTTCTTTCAATAATAATAAAAAAAAAGGAAAAAAAGAAAACTTTTTTCTAAAAAAAAAAAAAAAAAGAGGTATGAATAAAAGAACTTCCCGGTGGAATCATAAACACCGCTCATTGTGCGGTCGTATGGAAGGTCATTGGACATCCACTTGGTCTAATTAAAAGGATAATAATAAAACATGGTTTCTCCCTTAGCGTAGTCCGTATATGCAACAAGTCCATAACTGGTATCGTACAACTAAGCATCAACTCAAGAAGAATGTGAGCAGACAGATGACACCTGACATCGGGAGGGCGCAAGAAGTCCCGTTACGCAAACACACGGTACCATGAATGAAGGTTACGGTGCAAAATATTTTTGGCGAGATGTTCGCTCGGAAAAGTAGCGATCGGTGAAAATGTTTTGGCAAATGAGAATTGTGTGGGAGGGTGATAAATTGATCAAAGTTAATGTTGACATTGTTACCGTGCGTTTTTAAGGGTTTCTTTTTTTAATTCAATGAGGAAAAAAAAAAAAAGTCCCCACTTGTGTGTGAAGGTTGCGACACCGCTCGGGATCAGAAATTCACTTGTGCACGTAATTACAGTATCTTGTACGAGGCAGATGCCGACGACGAAGATAAACACGGTCAGGTTATTGTGCTTCCCTTTGGCATGTAATGATAACCTTATATGTTGGAATCAATTCATTTTCTCTTTTTTGAGCACACTACAAAACGTTCACCCCATGTGAATCCAAGAAAATGTACACCGTGTCAATTTGCCCTTATCCAATCTATCAATTCAAAGATTTTATTCACACAACAATCAACGGGTCCAATGGACCGAAATCGAATCCTTATTCTCTAACCATAACCGACATACAAGTCGTTCTATTATCTCAAATACAATGATGTTATTTCAAACGTACAATAAGACTATTTTGGGATGGATGGTTGTACGTAACTCCAGAGGCCAGAATGATCCGGAACATTTTGTCTAATAGAAGCAAACACGGCTATATCGGCACGCATTTGGTAATTAGTTTGACACCGATATTCCAATTCTATTGAGAGCTCTATTGAGTCTTCTCTTTTTCAGCAACATCATTTGAATTTGTGCAAACTTCCCATTCCTAAAGCTCTTTTACCACCTTCCACTTAAGGTATTCCTTGGGAGAATCATTATTCTGGATTGTTCTTACGAACAAGACAAAAACACCCACAACAGGATTTGGTTAAATCGGGCATCTCTTTCTAACGCCATCATTGGATTCTATAACCCACGAACCTTTGAGGAATCTCGTTGGTTAATTTACTGGGGAAGGCGGTAATAATTGTCGAAACTGTTATTATCCCCCTTATTTCATCGCAATTTACAATGGAGTCAGCCAATTTGGAATTGCATCTGGGGAAGGCAAGCAATTGACGTTTTGAATAATATTGGAAATTGAGGGTTCAACAAGCAATAAAGACAACGATGAATAGCTGGTTAGCTCCATGTCATCTGACCACATTTTTGCACAATCCCACCGAAATAAAAATTTTCATTTGGACCAAATTTTTACCGAACCACGTGAAACTCATTTCTTTCTGGCTAAATGTATACCGTATGTGTTGTTGTATATACAGTACCTGTTTGCGTGTGATGAAAAACAAGAAATAAACAAAAAAGATCGATAAATCATTTGATCAAGAATGGTTAGAAGCGCCCGTGTAAGCGTAAAACAAACATGCTTAAGCAATAAAGATTGGATAATTCAAAATCAGTTGTTTTCTCAGTCTCGCACGGTAAACAGCACATGAACTTTTTAGAACACAAATTCAGCCGATTTGATACGAAGTTTTATGTGATATGGAGAAGACCGAAATGAAATGTGAAAATGGAAATGTGATAACGAAGGACGAAAGATAGAAATGGGACACGGAACATGGAATATGAAATTCAGAAAATCAATCATGGAAGATGTTACAGGAAAGAAATGTAACATCGAAATCTCTGAAGCGCGGAAAGTTTCCCGTCTGAACGTACACATTGCCGAGGATTACACGAGCACAGAATATAGCTGAATGTGAGACGAAATTTTGTGCCCCACCTTATGTTTCTTCCTTCCTTTGGAGTTACACCAGAAATTTGAAGATGGTGTCGATGGTGTGAGACATTCCGAGGGTGAACACTCTGTTGTGAACACGCTCGAATGAGTCCACCGTTCACGAAAACTTTCAAAAAAAACTATGCTTGGCACAATTCGCCTCTCAGGAAAATTGGTTGCATGCATGATACACTGAGATCGCAAAATGCATACGAATAGGAATAATTTGTTTGAATGCATAACATAATGCGTGCTCATTATGCTT